TCACTTATTAGCCTATTAGTACAATCACCCTGTATTACATGAGTGCTTGTAAAGAAATTTATATTTAAAATTGAAATTAAAAAAAAAATAATTAAGTATTTTTTGAAAAATTATATTTTATTTATATATAAAATGGCACCCATCACTTATACAGTTTAACTTCTTATATTATAATAATTTTTTAACTTATACCATATAATTAATTTGTATTTAAATTAATTCAAATATTTTTTTACAATTAACATTAATATGTAATTTAATTTTTATTATAAAAATAAATATAACTATATATTTATTTTTATGTACAATACTGATGTCAAATCAAATATCTTCACGACATGATTAATTTAATATATTATATATAAAGAATTGATAATAAATAAAAAATATTTTTAGCTTTTAAATATATTTATAATATATGTTAATAATTTTTTTATATTTATACAAAAGATGAAAAAAAAAAGATAGGAGAAAAAATCATGCTTTATAAGCCACTGCGTCTAGAATAGAAAATAATATTAAAACATAATTAATGCTCTTGAAATTATCATAAATATCCAATATATATATTGATATTCCAAGCCTAGTTATTTTTTAATTAAAAATAAATTAAAATTTATCCAAGTCAAATACAAATTATGAAAATTGTCACATAGGAGTCCAAAGTGTGGGAGCTGCTACTTACACACTCAGCGCATTAGAGACTTATATAAAGAATATTTTTGTTATTTTTTAAAGAAAAAGTATAATTCAAAATACATTTTGAGTTACCATATGGATTAATCTTCCGGTGCGTTAATATCCCCAGACCAAACTCAATTGTAATCCAAACTATAATAAACAGAAAAGAGCACACATAGTCTAGGTAATTAATTGGTGCAACAATCCCATCACATTGTGTTCCCTTTTTCAGATAACTAAAATCATTAGGATTTTTATGTTAACGGCGGGTAACATGGGACAATGTAACTAAGATTTTAGGTTAAATGCTTTTGATCTTTACTAATGGGACAACGTAGTAATAAATCTTGTGCACATAGCACAAATTACACAAAAACATAACACAAACGTTTTATATAAAAAATACTATGATCGCACGTCGCAACGCGGAAAATTAGAATTTATATTTTTCTTTGACTAATTTTTACTAACTAGTAATAGTGTCAAACAAGGGTTGATCTTATGAATCAAATTGTGAATTTTCTCGTATGAATTGAAATTAAGAAAGCAATAAAAAAGGGGAGTTTGAATAATTAAACTAATTAAAATCCTAATGAAATAAACAAAATCTCAACAAATGAATAAAAATAAAATAAAATAAATTTAGAGCTAGAAACTTCTAGTTCACGTGCCATCTACACCCTAGCTCGAATAGTATAATCAATTGGTACATCAAGTTTCACTATCTTCTAAAATTACTAGTCCTGGATAGCAACACACTATGCTATCTGAATTTTTCCGTACTGATTATTTAGCCGAGAAACGTTCTTCGGTTAAACCTGACTTATTGGACAGTCTAGAACACGCTCTCTAGATTTAATTCAATAGTCGCTTTAGCATAAAAAAAATAGGCTAGTCTAAGTAGTAAACACAACCGCACAGTTCACTTAATTAGGCCGTATTATCCCGGCAGTTACCAACTTTCGGTTGCTACTTACAAATTAAACTCAACAACAATTACGGACTGCAAGTTCAATTCTAGCATTACACATGAAAAAATCTATCTAGGTGATCAATCTAAATAAAATCAAACATATCATGGTTGATCAATCAAAATAACACAAACAATTTCATAAAAACAGCAAAATAATCAATCACAGTAATTAATTAAACATGGTCGAGTACGTAGGGTTCGACATTCCCGTAACTAGAAATAAAATCTAGTCTAACATAATAAATATAAAAAAAAAAATATATAATTATTCTTCTCGTGTGTGGGTGCAGCATCCCTCCATTTCCGTCAGATTCCTCGCGTCTGTCCGTCTCTTCCCGTGGGGCTCTCTTTTATGTTCTTTCTCCTCTTCACAAATAATTCACTCCCAGCATTATGCGTACTACAACCAAAAGTTATTTAATTATATATATCATATTTATAATTGAAAATTTACATTAACAAAGTAAATTAATTAATAATTAATACATATTAGCTATTTTAAGATTCTAATAAAAAGATAATATACATGTGAAATTTTACATACATTGATGACAATTGTTGTATGAATATAATGAATAATATAACTTTTTATATACTTTGAACATTATATTAATAATAATCATAACTTTACCACCAAAGTAAAAAAATTAAAATTAAAATGATTAATCTTATATACCATACAATTTAAAAACTATAAGATATTTGCGTATGTAAATTATATTAATAATTAATGATGTATTAAAACACATATACAATATGGATTATTTATATAATAATAGTTTACGTATAATTTATTGAGGTTCAAATTTTGAAATGAATTTACAACTGAAAGAATAGATATGTAATATGATATTGTAACGGTTACATCAAAATATAATATTAATTACCATTACTAATATAAGTACATAACAATAACACAATTAAATTATTTTTAAAATATAATTGTTACAATTTTTATTGGATATTACAATATTTATTACAAACTGAAAGATGTAAACACAAATTAAAAAGAAACTAGTAATCAACATGTGCATTTGCACAGAAAAAATACTTTAAAAAGATAACAATATAAAAAAAATAAAAATAAATCATAATTTAATACATGAAAAAAAATATGAATTAAAAAAATAATTCTCACAATTTTTGATCAAGTAATTGCCATGGAAGAGCCGTTACAACCATTTTCTTTATTATACCCGACCGTTACAACCAATTTTATAACTCCCTTAATTGGTTTATGATCATAATTATTGGCATTCAAGCAAGTTATTTTATAACTTAAAAATGAAATTAAATACTAAAAATTTTGGAAGGAGAATAAAATTTAATACATGAGAATAAAATTTAATGCATGATAATATAATTTAATGTTTTGTTGCTCTTCATTTGTTAAAAGCATTTACTACATGAGTCATAAAATATTTTTTATTTCATAAAGTTCCATATATTTAAGGAAAATAAGAAAATTTTATTTCATCAATCGAGTCATTGAATTAGGTAAATGCTCAGTATTGACGTTATTTATATATTTAATTTATAATACAATAATAATATTGTTCCCCGTGCATCGAATGGGCCTACTAATTCATTGTAATAAACTAATGATGATCGTGAAGAAAATTTGTTACTGTGGTGACAATTTAGATGAAAAACTCTTTTCAACTCGAAATACAAAAATTATAAAAGTTTAATTCTGACAATCACAAATTCCAGTGTGAGGCAGTTTAATGTTAGACAATTGATCAGTTAATTTTATAATAAAAATACGTACATATGTTATTAAATGTCATACTTTTATTATTTATTGGAGTATTACATTTATCTTGAAAGTATTATATGGACAAGTTAGACTAGTGTCCTCACCGATCTTTTTACCGTTGGATCATATACATAGAGACACACACACAATGAGGGCAATGCCCTCACCAGTAGGATCGAAATTATCACATATCTTTTAAAATATATGCTTATTTAATTTTAGAATTGAGATCATATCTTTTAATAATATGTTTTGAATATTTTTTTTCAAACAATGGTTTTAGCCAAAGGCATAAGTGATATTTATAATTTTCCTTTAATTTTTGAAAGCATTTAATGAAAAAAAATAGGAGTTATCGTTCAATAAAAATGTTCATGGTATATTCAGACCATGTTGCATTGTTGGTGTGGAAAACTCATTCAACGTATATTGAGCTAAAATATACAAATAAGCTATTGAAAAAATATGTTTTCATATTAATGTAATAAAATATATTTAGTTTTAATGCATCCACTATGACTGCTAAACTAAGAAAACATACAAAAATAATTAATTTATCATTTTATATGTAAAAGGTACCAATAAGTATAGAAATATATATATATATATGACCAAAATATTTATATATTTATTTAGTAATACAAAAGGCAGAAAATATTTTTCAAATATACTACATAGATATAGATGCAGATTTATCGACTGTGTTCTCATTAACAATATATAGTTTGTTTGAACATGTGATCATAGTCTAAATATTTTTTAATATTTAAATATAGATCAATAGGTATGATCCTAAAAAATTTTAAACTATTTTTATTTCGGCTTTAGAAACATATATAATATTTTAAACATATATAATTTTAAATTATAATTACTTTTGGGTAATTTAATTTTTAATTGACATTTAGTAATTTGGATATATTTATAGAAATAATCTCCTCTTCGATCGCCACAATCGATCGGCACTACCGATGTCTTTTTTTTTATGCTTATTTATCTTATATCGATCTGTCAATATTCTATGTCATTAAATACATTTTATCTCATAACCCCTAATTAAGTTATCTTAAAGCGTACTTTTCGTAAACGTTGCTGGTCGACCATCAACATATATTATTATAACGTATAATACAACTAAACTAGTTTTTACGTAATTAAAAATTAGCAAATCGTGTATAAATTCAAAATAATATGCATTACATTATATTTAATTAAGTGTCGGTTTATAACAGTTATGTTTCAACTTTAACACCACTTATTTAGCAACCTAAGTAATATATTGTAATAATATATGCGTAGGGAAAGAGAGAATAAATGATTTTTTTAAGTATTATTTATTAATAATATTAGAATATGTTAAACTTTCAATTTTTTAATTCTAAACAAAAACATTAAAATGACAACGATTTTTTTACGGTCGGGATAAAAACAAATCATACATTAAATTATTATGTAACATAAAAATAAAAAAGACAAAACAACATTAATGTTAATTTTTTTTCATACTGATTAATATTCATTTATTACTTTAATTTATATTTATATATGGTAAAGATCAAAGAAGTGGAATGAAGTTGCGGTATTGGGCCTCTCACAAGTAGGCCTCTGTGGAGCAGCCCATCCTATTTCCTGGAGATATGGTCGGACATATGCAGCAGGAGATTAATGGACCATTCCAAAAGCCCAATACTACACACACTAACATGTCTTCACTCGGATTTGGGATTGCGCATTGGCGGCGCCGGACTACATTTCACCACCGCAAACAGCCCCAAATTTCCCCGCGCCGTTCTGCTATTGTGCGCCCTAAGCGCACGGATCAAGTTAGCCTTGGGCGGGGAAGGAAGCAGACAATCGAAGCGATGAGAGCCGTGGTCCAGCGCGTAGCCTCCGCGAGCGTTGAGGTCTGCTTACAATTACAGACTTCCAGTACATATAATTAGTTGCATAAATTTCACGCTCGTTGTGGCCGAAACGCCGTCGTACTCTTAGTTTCCGGTAGCTCACCCCACCCGAGATTGTGGTTGTTGCAGGTTGAAGGCCGGACGGTGTCGGAGATCGGGCCGGGCCTGCTTGTTCTCGTCGGGCTTCACGAGACCGATGTGGATTCCGACACCGAGTACATGTATGTATTAATTTGGAACATGAATGATTTTATTTGTTATTTTTATTTTTTGTCTGCAACTGTTATAATAGAGAAATTCTGTTTTGGTATTTTCTAATTATTTTGATGGGTTTGCAGATGCCGCAAGGTGTTGAACATGAGATTGTTTCCCAATGACAAGACTGGAAAAACTTGGGACCAAAGTGTAATTTCTTTGGCACTTCTTTTCATAGCTTTCTCATTTTGATACGAGCAATGTCTATTATGTTCTCTTAGCTGCGTTTAGATTTTTTCCCCTTTAGATTGAGATTTACATTGGATGTAATGAACTTGATTTTTACTCAACAAATATGTAATAATTCTTGAACATGCGATGGCAAAATTATACACAATCCTGTATTTGTTTGGTGTGTATAGTTCGGGTCCAAATGTTCCTTATTTCTGTAATCCCAATCGGCATATCGATTTTCAGCATTAATCACATAATTGGAAGAAAAAGAAAAAGCTTTCCAATGTGTTGCTTGATATATAAAAAGCAAAAGCCATGCTTCTGAAGAATACTAACCCATCTAAACATTGACAGGTTGTGCAAAGAAATTATGAAGTTCTTTTAGGTATATTATCCGCATCTCATTCTTTTCCTCATTTTATCTATTTCCTATATTACGTTATGCTAGTTATTGAAATTTTTTATCTTTGAACCGTCGAGTGTTGATGCTGATAGGCTGGTTCTTATATGATGCAGTGAGTCAGTTCACGTTATTTGGGATTTTGAAAGGAAACAAACCAGATTTTCATGTTGCAATGCCTCCGGATGTGGCGAAACCATTTTATGCTTCTGTGGTCGAAAAATTTCAGAAAGCTTACACAGTAGATGCAGTTAAAGGTATGTTTGTGTGTGTGTGGACTGTGGAGGGAGAGAGGAAGAGAGAATTTCCTAAAGCCAATAGGAAATTTTGTTACAGGGATGATTGTGGAAATTTTGTTTTGACCTGCAATATGACATCCAAAGCATTGTTTTGCTCGTATATGGTTAACATTTGACCTCCCATACGTTTTTTTTTTTTTTCATAATTACAGGTGTGCGTTATTTTTACGCTTCCCAGTGCATTTCTTTACTAATTCAATGCAGTACAAACGTTTCTTGAAAATTCCTCTTCAAATGACCCTCCGGTCACTAACCAATCAAAGCCTTATGTTCGCCTATTGAATAAATTAGCTACTGTAAGTAGTTGATATAGGATATGGCTTCTTATTTACGAGTTAGTGAATCAATTGGGTCACAGGGCTGCAGTTTCTCCAAGCAAAATACATGTTAAAAGAAAATTTATTATATGTGCATACTAAACTCTGATTGATGTTTCTGTGCAGATGGTGTGTTTGGAGCAATGATGAAAGTGAGACTTCGCAACTTTTGTGCTTTTTAGTTATTCTTTTCGCTTGTACACTTCATTAGTGAGAAGAATTGTAGACAACACCTTTAATTCGTATCTTTTATCCTCTCTCTCTCTCTCTTTTTTTCTCTCTAATTTTACTTTTTACACCTGAATTGAAGGTCAACTTGGTTAACGATGGTCCAGTGACAATGCAGCTTGACTCCAGGCAATCGACAAAAGTAAAAGTCCAGACCAACCATGAATTTGATGAATTTACATTTTTATGGCATCTGGATACTCTCTTAGAGTATTGCTCTAAAATTACTGTGTTTATGATTTTTCAGGAATTCAAATGGTGAAGCAGAAGGATCATAACCAACACGATCACCTTAAGCCACATTTAACAGCTGGAAGTTCACTTGATTTAATAAACAGTAGGAATGAAGAATCGTATTACTTGGGAATGCATGCGTCGAATCTTGGATTGATTGATTAATTTCAAAGCCTGGCTGATTGAACGACCGAAAATGAACCTGGACTTTATTCTTATTCTTATGCATTTGTATAATTTGTTCATGCTGTTTATGTTACTACTGGCCATAGTACAGCGAATTACCGAAAGAGCATAGCTGTTTGTCTGTTTCATTACATGAACACTTCTAGATCTCAAATGTCTGAGTCATATGCTTAGAGTTAGAAGTTGACATACTAAACGTGTATTTCTATCCGATGTTCAAACTCTGAATTTAGTAATTACGTGGTATGTGCTACGCTTTCCTTATTGTTATCAGGAAAAAGATGTGTTGTACGTACAGCTTCCAGAAAGGTGTATTCATGCAATCTTTGGTTAATAAATAAAAGATGAAACAGAAAAGGAAAATTAAAAAATATATTCCGTTGCCGGGACTTGAACCCGGGTCTCTCGGGTGAGAGCCGAGTATCCTAACCACCTAGACTGCAACGGATTTGTTCTATTGTTTAACTAGTCTATTATATAAAAGATCTTTTAAAACATTAACATAACAAACTTAACAACCACGCATTTATTTAAAACAGACATCCATTAAACCATCTTTAATTATTGTTGCAACCATTTCGAAGTCTTAATCAAGCTGTATCACTGATAGAATAGAGATCTTGCTTGGCGTCCATCAGGTAAATCCATTTAACTGCCTATGTTATTATACATTTTCCTTTTTTACTTCTACCAAACAGGAACCAACCACTGAGTGTTAAGCTAACACTTCTCATTCATATAATTTTAGCCGAGTATCACTAGGACTAAAGGGATTTGCTGGAAAGAAAGACTCAGCCTATCAGCATATATGTTATGGTGGTTGTGGAAAACCAGAAACATATGGGTATTCAACAAAAAATGGATTAGTGAAAAAGAGCTAGTTGACAGGGTTAAAAAGGACTGGGGTGAATTTTTGGCTGTGGTGGTTAGAAAGGAGAACTGTAGCTTGAATACCTCATCTGATGTTGTTAAAGGAAGAGTAGGTCAGCTAATCCTAGCTGTCAGTGCTCATAAGGGGGAGAATGGCAGGGTTGGACTGGGATGTGTGCTTCAACTGGAGAATACAACCATTACATCCTGGTCATCATGTCTGGAGGCAACCACAACAGATGAAGAGGAAGTTGAACTAAAGGGCATTAGGTGGGGCTTGGAGTTGGCAATGTTGCATGGATGCAGGTCATTTGGATACTGCATTGGCAATAACAGACTAATCCAAAAATTGCTGTCTAAGTACCCCTTCCATCCTTCTGTTCAAGACATTGTCAAAGATATTCTATATATTTCCTCTGATTTAGTTGTGTGTTCTTTTTTAGTTGGTAAAAATGTTTGTGATCTTAGTAGATCTTTAGCCATGCAGGCTGTGCAAGGGGGTACTTAGTTGTATCCCGTGTGAGTGTTGTGCTCTGATTTTCTTTGTTTTAGAGTTCACACTTTTCCCTCTATTTAGAGGGTCGTTTGTACCGTACGATTTATTGAGCAATGAATGTTGTTACTTTGTCGCTGAAAAAAAAAAAAATTGGTTACAACAACTCAATCAAGGCCTTTCGTGAACACGCCATCACTAAAAAGGACTCGTTACACGCTTGAGGGCGGCCATCAAGGTCAAAATAATTACTATAGCCCAATACAGTAGTACTAATTAATCAACTACTAATCCTTTGTCCATGATATGTGCTCTCAAGTACTTGTTGCAATTGAGAATAAACTCTGTGAAAGAATATTTATTTGTAATCAAATGCAATATAAGTTTAATTGATACTCCTTTTAATTAGTTGTTGCAATTAATAGTTTTAATTGATACTTCTTTTGGTTATAACAGTGTAACAATAATGGCTCAACTAGATCTCAAGCACCTGAGTTATAGCTAACTTTAATTAGAGTTCTTATTAGGCCTCTCACAACTGTCAAATGCAGAACAATGTCAAATGGTTTGGCCATGTCCAAATTTCCCATATATATAAATACTTGCAAAATTGTACTTCATAATGCCACACAGTCGTGAAAAACCCATCCATTCAAGATCTGTAGAATCTGTTCATCATAACGTCGTGGTACATAGACTTAACAATTTTGTTACCTCTTATTCACACAAAATCACATATATGAATATATTTATTTATTAAATAATGGCTATCCATTATTTTTCACCAACATATGATCTCCAAAACTATGAACCTGCAGCAACCTAATATTGTACCTTATTCCTTAACTAGGCTGTCGATTAAAGGCCTAACCTCTTGAAAAAGCAGAAAATATGTTTTTTCAGTTGGGTGAATCGCATCCCAAAACACGTACTCGTTCACATCTTCACACACGACACTCTTTGAATTGCACATATACGAAGCTTCAAGCATCCCTGTCCCGCAACATCCCTTACTAACCTCCTCAAAATCTGTTATTATCGCAAAATAAACAATCACACCAAATAAACCCAACAAAAATAATAATAATAATAATAATTTTACATTGACATAAAGCATTGACTACTCACCATATGTGTTGCCTAAGGTCATTTCCTCTAACGGTCCAAATATGTCCACGTAAGCAATCCGAGAGCCGGAAGGTTGAAGCTCCTATTGCATTTCCTTCAATTCATTTTGTAGCATGCTATTATAATGTCGTGCTACCGACGAAAAATTTGCAATGCAATCTCGGTTTGCAATTGGGTCCTCAGAATATAGTGTTATTACAATCGGCAAGCAGCCCATTGGAGGCAGGCCTACTACTCCTATTCGCGTGGCACCTTGGTCCACTAATCCCTGCACAGTTCAAACACATTTATAGTAACGTACATTGCTGTTTGTTCGTACTATAACAAAAATTAAATCGATCCAACAACATTTTTTCATTAAAATTAATGTTTTTTTTTTTCATATACGCAACAAAATATCATGAGCTGTCGGTACCTGAAAAACTTGCCGAGCTTCTTGTAGAATGAAACTCGTGTATTCCGAGATTGTGTAATTGTTACGCCTAATAGGCACGGTAAAATAATTTACGACAAAGTCATTAGTCCCGGCACTGACTAGAAACAGAGCATTTTTTACTATCTCCATTGTCCTNATGTAACATAAAAATAAAAAAGATAAAACAACATTAATGTTAATTTTTTTGATACTGATTAATATTCATTTATTACTTTAATTTATATGTATATATGGTAAAGATCAAAGAAGTGGAATGAAGTTGCGGTATTGGGCCTCTCACAAGTAGGCCTCTGTGGAGCAGCCCATCCTATTTCCTGGAGATATGGTCGGACATATGCAGCAGGAGATTAATGGACCATTCCAAAAGCCCAATACTCTACACACACTAACATGTCTTCACTCGGATTTGGGATTGCGCATTGCCGGCGCCGGACCACATTTCACCACCGCAAACATCCCCAGATTTCCCCGCGCCGTTCTGCTAGTGTGCGCCCTAAGCGCACGGATCAAGTTAGCCTTGGGCGGAGAAGGAAGCAGACAATCCAAGCGATGAGAGCCGTGGTCCAGCGCGTAGCCTCCGCGAGCGTTGAGGTCTGCTTACAGTTACAGACTTATAGTGTACATATAATTAGTTGCATAAATTTCACACTCGTTGTGGCCAAACGCCACGCCGTCGTACTCTTACTTTCTTTTCATAGCTTTCTCATTTTGATATGAGCAATGTCTATTATGTTTCCTTAGCTGTGTTCAGATTCTTTCTTTTTCCCCTTTAGATTGAGATTTACATTGGATGTAATTAACTTTCACTTTCCTCAACAAATTTGTAATATTGACATGCAATGGCAAAATGATACACATGCCTTAACTTGTTTGGTGTGTAGTTCGGGTCCAATGTTCCTTAATTCTGTAATCCCAATCGGCATATCGATTTTCAGCATTAATCACATAATTGGAAGAATAAGAAAAAGCTTTCCAATGTGTTGCTTGATATATAAAAAAACAAAAGCCATGCTTCTGAAGAATACTAACTGATCTAAACATTGACAGGTTGTGCAAAGAAATTATGAAGTTCTTTTAGGTATATCTTCTGCCTCTTATCCTTTTCCTCATTTAATCCATTTCCTATCTTATGTTATGCGAGTTATTGAATTTTTTTTATCTTTGAACCATCGAGTGTTGATGCTGATAGGCTGGTTCTAAAATGATGCAGTGAGTCAGTTCACTTTATTCGGGATTTTGAAAGGAAACAAACCAGATTTTCAGGTGGCAATGCCTCCGGATGTGGCAAAACCATTTTATGCTTCTGTGGTCGAAAAATTTCAGAAAGCTTACAGAGTAGATGCAACTAAAGGTATGTGTGTGTGTGTAAGGAGGGAGAGAGGAAGAGAGAATTTCCTAAAACCAATAGCTCGCGTAAGGGATTATTGTGGAAATTTTATTTTGACTTGTAATATGACATCCAAAACATGGTTTCGCTCATGTAAGGTTTAACATTTGAGATCCCCCATTTTTTTTCAATCATAATTACAAGCACACACTATTTTCTGAAAATTCCTCCTGAATAACCCTCCAGTCACTAACTAATCAAAGCCTTGTGTTCACCTATTCAATAAATTAACTACTGCAAGTAGTTGATATACGATGTGGCTTCTTATTTACGAGTTAGTGAAGCAATTGGGTCACAGGGCATAATTATATGTATTATTAGTAATTATATTGCATGAATAATATGTATTACCGACAAAATGTATTAATAATATGTACTGGTACAACGCCCGTGAACTACACGAGTGTTTCATAAAAAACTAATTGTCCAACAAAAATTAAAAAAGAATTGAAATTTTTATTGTGAATAAAAAAACTATAAATAATTATTAAAAAAATATTTTTTAATATATTTTGAATTCCAAAAAATATTTTTTCTATTTCTTATATATTCATTTTTATGAAAATTAAATATAATAATTAGTTTATTCGACAGTTAATATAACATTCGTGAACAACAAGGGTGCTTGAAAATTAAGTATTTTATCAAAATAAATAAGTGAAGAAATTAATATTTAGAATGCTAAAAATATAAATATATAATTAATAACTAAAAGATAATTAAGTTAATTATTTAAAATAATACTCATTGTTATACTTGACTTATCATTGTTTTATTTTTAAGGATATATATCATTGTTTTGTATTATATATATAATATGAATGTCGAATCGAAGAAGGAGACAGATGCTCTCGTATATAAGAGAAGTCCACTTTTAAGAGCTAAACTACGATGGGAAAGCTAGAGATTAGGAGCTCAGCTCGTTCTTTATATGAAAAAATAAAATACAAACAAAAAATTTAGAATTTTAAAAGTTAGAAGAGTGTGGCTTAGCATGTAATTATAAAAAAAAATAAAAGTACCTGTTAATAGTAGAATGTCAAAGCCAAAGGAAAGAGTTCCATAATATTTGCAGTGATTCTTTTTATTTTAATTTTCTACAGGGATAAAATAACTCAAGACTAAATGATTCTTTCCATTTAGCTTTTTTTGTTTAAAATAAAATGAGATGACTAAAAGTCTAAAATATAAAATCACTTGTCATGAACTTTTATTTTTTGTAAGAATGGATAACTAAGACTCTTAATATGTTGTAGTGTGCATAGGTGACGGAACTCTAAAAAAAAGTACAAAATACTTAGGCTATGTGAAATATTTCATGTAAAATTAATTAAGTATCGATTTTGTTATAACAAGTTGAACTATTAGTTAAATGTCCTTGTCAAATGATAATTTATTTATGGGTAAAATCAAATAAGCTTTTGATGTTTGTTATAACAAGACACACATACCAAGGTTGTCAAAACCGGACCGGTCATCGAACCGGTGAAGCTATTGGTTCAATGGTTCACTGGTCGGACCAGTGGTCGAACCGGTCGAACCGATTTAACTAATATATAATTTTTTATTTATTTTATATGTACATTATATAATTACATATATTTTTATCATTAGTTTTATAGTGTACAATGACATTTCTCTGTATATAAATTAATTGTATTTATTTTTTATCATTAATTTTATATGTATAATATATAATTATATATATTTTTAACATTAATTGATTAAATGTTAAAGTGTTAAACTTATTATGTAAGGTTTATATTTATTTTGTAAAATTGTAAATATATAATAATAATAATAATAATATATGATTTTATTTATATTTTTTTAAGTTGGGCTTTTACTTTTGAGTTTTGAATTTTAAAAGAATTTGAATTTGAAACTTTGCATAAGGACATTAAAAAAAAATGGTCTTTACAACTTGCAATTGCTTATGTGTATACCAAAAAAAGGCCCAATCATTTGAAAGTCACTGGGCCTTTTGATATTTGAATGGCCCACGCAGCAAGTCCAGCAACAAGCAAGTAAAAAGAAAGGAAACACCTTGTCCCACATTGGAAAACTAACAGAGAAATAAAGAGTTTATAAGATAAAAGTCATCCAACCTGTTTGAAATAGTAGCCGCTTGGGCCAGTGGAACCGGAGCCAATTTTCCGGTTTTAGCGGTTTTTGACCAGTTTTGGTGCTCAACGGTTTAATGACTAAGACCGGACCGTTTAGATGCCCGGTTCCCGGTTGAACCGGTCGAACCGGCTGGTCCGGTCCTGTTTTGACAACTATGCAAAAAACACATAAATTTTTATCATCCTTGTAATTTATCAAGATACACATCTTGTAATTTATCAAGATACACATCATTTATCTTACGTTAAATGTTCATGTCAAATGATCTTATATTTATGGTTAAAATCAACAGTTTTGTTATGGAGCCATCGGATAGCTCGATTTAGGGAGCCATCTACACTTATTCACCATTAGTGTATTGACACGTGTCCTACAATGAATACAATTTAGACATGTGTCAATATATTAAGTGAAGGAGCATTTTCAGATTCATCATGTGAAGGAGCAGGCAAAGAAACATTTAAACATGGCATTTCAAATTCATTGAACACAACATCACGACCATAAAGTCGAGTACGTTTCTTAGCCACAATCTATAACCTTTAACACCTTCAGGATTCCTAAGAACACACATTTCATTAATCGAGGTTCAAGCTTATTAAGTTTCGTATGACAAAATGCAGCACAACCGAAAACACGCAAGTTTGAAAAATCAATTTCCTTACTAGACCAAACAAACTCAGGACACTTACCATTCAAAGGCACAGAAGGCGACCTATTTATCAAGTAAGAAGCAGTTAAAACAGCCTCACCCCAAAACTTTTTTGAAAGACCTAAACTAGACAACATACACCTCACCGCAACACCGTTTTGTTGAGGGGTGTAAGGCACGGTTTTATGCCTTTGAATACCAGATTGAGCACATAATATATCAAACAAATTATTACAAAATTCAAGCTCATTATCAGTCCTAAGAATTTTAATCGTTTTTCCGGTTTGGTTTTCAATCAATGATTTCCAAGTATTAAACGTTTCAAACATATCAGACTTATTTTTCAAAAGGAACACAAAGACCTTTCTAAAAAAAATTATCAATCACGGATAAGAAATACCTACTCCTGCCATGTGTCGAAACACTAGCGGGACCCCAAACATCGGCATGCAAATATTCAAGAATTTTCGAACACATAGAGGGTTTAGAGGAAGGTGAAACAGGAAATTTAACACGTTATTGCTTGCCAAATACACAAGAATCACAAAACGGAACACAAGATAATTCATCTTTAGCTCAACTCATCCATATATCGGAATTACTAATAATACGACTCCAGGAAAGCTATGAAGTACAACGATACTTTCACAAGTCAACTTCAAGAAAATCCAGACATTGTTCCTATGCAATGCAAATCCAAACAAACTTCAAATGTAGATTGTAATAAAAATAAAAAGAAAAAGAAAAACAAACAAAAAAAAAAAACCTTTGGCCTGTTGTAATTTGTAATAAACTCGTAAAATATAACTCTCTCCAACCCGTGTATATATAGCACAAATAATAAAAAACGTGATTTATAAAAAAAAATGATGAAAAATAGATATGTTGTAAACTTACTATAAATAATCGACAGTGAAGAAAATATATTAATAATAATGCTCAAATTTTGACTAAAGAAAGAGAAACTACATAAACCATCTAGCTGGTAGCATTAAAAGAATTCAAATGAATTATAATACTTATGCATAACAAATCACACCAAAAGTTGGCTAAGGAAAAAAAAAAAGTAAATTAGAGAGAGCACTTACTAATGAATACAGCACTTACTATTTTGTTGTGATTTGTTTATATTCAACTCAATTGAATAAATTCATTATAAAATAGTAAAAGATCGAGAGAGAGAGAGAGGAGGAGATACCCTGGAGGGGAGAGAGATGGGCTTTATTTATAGAAGGCAATCAAACAAATAAATTGAGCAGTTTATTTATAGTAAAGAGGAGCAATTCCATTAATGTTATTATCGAATCTTCCTGTTCTTTTTTATATAATTATGATGAAAAGTAATCTTTACATTTCATAAGTATAATAATATTTTTTTAACTACTGTCTCTTGAAGTGTGAATCCACAACATGTGTGTGATAGATGTGGTGCAATGCTACCTTACAACCTAACCACATTGCCATTTCATTTAAAATAAAATAAATAAATTGAGGTAAATAAATAGGATTAAATATATAAACTAAAATAAATAAGATAAATTATACAAGTCACGGCTCGCGGTGGTCAACAAACGGCAGCCCCAGATTCCCGAGCCGTGACTTACCGAATTTATCTTATTTATTTTAGTTTATATATTTTATTTTATTTATTTATTTACCTCAATTTATTATTTTCAATGAAATGACAATTTGGTTAGGTTGTAGGGCAACATTGTACCACCTCTATCACACACATATTGTGGATTCACTATTCAAGAGCACAATAGTTTAAAATTTTTATACATATGAAATGTAAAGAACATGATGATTCGATAATAACATCAATGGAAATGCTCCTCTTTACTATAAATAAATTGCTCAATTTATTTGTTGGATTGCCTTCTATAAATAAAGACCATCTCTCTCTCCCTCCAGGAATCTCCTCTCCTCTCTCTCTTGATCTTTCACTATTTAATAATGAATTTATTCAATTGAGTTGAATATAAACAAATCACACCAAAATAGTAAGTGATGTCCATTAATAAGTGCTCTCTCTAATTTACTTTTTTTTTTCCTTAGCCAACTTTTAATGTGATTTTTTATTCATAAGTACTTATAATTCATTTGAATTACTTTAACGCTGCCGGCTAAATGGTTTATGTAGATTCTCTTTGTTTGGTTAAGATTTGAGCATTATTCTTAATACATTTTCTTCACTGCGGATTATTTATCGCAAGTCTACAGCATATCTATTTTTCATCATTTTTTTTGTAAATCCCGTGTTTTTATTATTTGTGTTATATATACACGTGTTGGAGAGAGTTATATTTTACGAGTTCATTACAACAGGCCAAAGGTTTTTTATTTTTTTAATTACAATCTACATTTGAAGTTGTTTGGATTTGCATTACGTGGGAACAATGTCTTGATTTTCTTGAAGTTGACTTGTGAAAGTATCGTTGTACTTCATAGCTTTTCTGTATTATTAGTAATTTCGATATATGGATGAGTTGAGCTGTTTTGGTAAAGATAAATTATCTTGTGTGCCGTTTTGTGATTCTTGTGCACTTGCCAAGCAACAACGTGTTAAATTTCCTGTTTCACCTTCCCCTAAAACCTCTATGTTTTCGGAAATTCTTGAATATTTGCATGCCGATGTTTGTTGTCCCACTAGTGTTTCAACACATGGCGGGAGTAGGTATTTCTTGTAATAATTTTTTTTAGAAAGGTCTTTGTGTTTCTTTTGAAAAATAAGTCTGATATGTTTGAAAAGTTTAAGACTTGGAAAACCTTGATTGAAAACCAAACCGGTAAAAAGATTAAAATTCTTAGGAATAATAATGAGCTTAAATTTTGTAACAATTTGTTTGATGAATTATGTGTTCAATCTGGTATTCAAAGGCATAAAACCGTGCCTTACACCCCTCAGCAAAACGGTGTTGTCGAGCGAATGAATGAATAGAACTTTACTTGAAAAGGTGAGGTGTATGTTGTCTAGTTCGAATCTTTCAAAAAAGTTTTGGGGTGAGGCTGTTTTAACTGCTCCTTATTTGATAAATAGACCGCCTTTTGTGCCTTTGAATGGTAAGTGTCCTGAGTTTGTTTGGTCTGGTAAGGAAATTGATTTTTCAAACTTGCGTGTTTTCGGTTGTGCTCTAAATAAACTTGAACCTCGATAAATGAAATGTGTTTTCTTAGAATATCCTGAAGGTGTTAAAGGTTATAGATTGTGGCTTAGAAACGTACCCGGCTTTAAGGTCGTGACAAGTCGTGAGGTTGTGTTCAATGAATCTGAAATGCCATGTTTAAATGCTTCTTTGCCTAATGATCCAAATGCGGTGGAGCAATTGAGTGGTTTAAGTGATTTCGATAATTCTAAAAGTATGCATGTTGAAACTGAAACAGAACGTGTTGTGTTTGATAATTAGTCTATTGAAATTGCTGAAAATGAAAATCTGAGTGATGAAACTGAAAAACAGCATGCTGAAAATGGAGAAAATGTCGATGTGCTTGATGAATATGTGGAAAACGTGCCTGAAAATGATGTTGATTTGCATGATTATCAACTTGCTAGAGATAGGACTAGAAGGGAACGTAAGAAACCTTCTAAGTTTGATGATTTTCACATGACTTTTATATGCTTTTGGTGTTTTCGAGTCTATTGATAATTGTGAGCCTAAGTCTTATGAGGAAGCCCTAAAGTCTGTGAATTCTTTGCAATGGATGAATGTTATGCGTGAAGTAATTAATTCGTTGCAGGTGAATCATACTTGGTCTCTTGTTCCTAAACCTGATAATTGTTCCTTAGTGGATTGCAAATGGTTGTATAAGGTTAAACAAGAGAATGATTCTGTTAGGTTTAATGCTAGACTCATGGCAAAAGGTTTTACTCAACGTGAGGGTGTTGATTATATCGAGATTTTTTCTCCTGTTGTTAAATTCACCATTGTGCGTATCATGTTTGCATTAGTTGCTCAGTTTGATTTTGAAGCAAATGGATGTTAAAATTGCTTTCTTGCATGGTGAATTGGATAAAAATATTTATATGAAACAACCTGTTGGATTTGTGGATGCTAAGAAATCTGATTATGTGTGTTTATTGAAGAAATCCTTGTATTGTTTAAAACAATCTCCTAGGCAATGGAACAAGAAGTTTGATATGTTCATGCTTTCTTTAAAGTTTAAAAGAAGTTCATATGATCATTGCTTGTACTTTAAAGAAAATGCCTCTGTTCCTGTTTTTCTGCTCATTTATGTGGATGACATGTTGTTGGTCGGTCCTTGAATTAAGTCTATTGAGCATGTTCAAAAATGTCTAAGTGATAATTTTGATATGAAAAACCTTGGAGATGCTAAAAGGATTCTTGGAATAAACATTATTCGTGATAGGAAAAACTCTGCGATTTTTCTTAATCAAATTTCATATATGGAGAAGATTTTGAGTAAATTTTCTATGTCATTTGCTAAGTCTGTGAATATTCCCCTTGCTGTCCACTTTGTGTTAAGTAAGGATCAGTCTCCCAAGAACGATTCTGAAATTGATTTGATGAAGAATGTGCCTTATTCAAACGCAATTGGTTCTGTGATGTATCTCATGGTTAGTACTAGGTCGGATATTGCATATGCTGTTAGTTGTTTGAATAGGTACATGTCCGAGTATGCCTCATACGGAAGCTCTTAAGTGGTGTTACGTTACTTGAATGGTTCTATGCATGTTGGTCTGAAATTTTCTAAGTGTTTTGAGGGTGTTAAACTTGTTGGCTATGTTGATTCGAATTATACAAATGATAGAGAAAATAGGAAATCAACAACTTCTTATGTGTTCACTTTGTGTGCTCGTGTATAAGTTGGAAATCACAACTACAACATATTGTTGCTTTGTCTACGTTGTTACCGAAGCCTTGAAAGAGGCTATTTGGTTGAAGGGTCTCTTGTGTGAAATTGGCTTGCTTGAAAAAGATGTTGTTGTGTTTTCCGATAGCCAATCGAGAATTCAATTGTGTAAAAATCCTGTTTTTCATGATCACACTAAGCATATAGATGTTAGGTTTCATTTCATAAGTGATATTGTGTCTAAAGGCTTAGTGGCTTAGTTAATCTTGAAAAAATTACATCCGAGTTTACCCTGCTGATATGGGAACTAAGTGTTTACCTGTTGAGAAATTTAGATCATGCATGAGAACTTTGAACTTTGATTCGTGTGATTGATGTGCTTGTAAGTGTTGTGTTCTTAGGTAGTGTACTATGTGTTTGTTGCCTGTTGTGATACTTGTGCGAGCTTCGTGAAAAGTGCAGGTGTCGTTAGGCAATGATGAAAGTCCTCCGGTCCCTCAAGGTGTCAGGTATTCGGTGGTAGGCCAAATCGGTGGAGAAATGTTAGGATATTGGGTCCAAAACCAATTATCTCAGGCCCAAGAAGCCTCGACCCAATCCCGGCTTGGCCCTCACTCACCGACTTGCATTGAGATGGATCTGTACCGTTGGATTTAGGGATTAAATCCCAACCATCCATTGTATACCACATATATCCCCTATCTCCACTCTTGCCCTAACTTTATTCTCTCACCCTCTCTCACGGCAGTTGCGCCCTTTCTCTCTGTGAGTGAAAATACTCGATTGATATCTCTTTCTCTCAATATGTTCTTTGTGACCTTTAGAGTGTGAGAGGTGAGTGTCGCCGTGAGAGCTGTCGTGTGAGCCGCCAGAGTGTCGTCGCTGAGCCGCCGTTGTCGCCTCCTCCTCTGTTTGATCACAGGCCCTTCGTGGTGACTCTGTGTGGTGACTCTGTGTGTGGAGGAGAGGGCCTGGCGACAGGGCTAGGCTGAGGCTTGGCGCGGGTGTGAGGTGCAGCCCGGGGAACGGGCTGAGAAACCGGGGCTACCGTTTATTGACCACCGCCGAGCCGTGACTTACCGAGGGAGCCGGGTTCAAGGGCGATCTGAGCCGGGAGAGACGACTTCGTGTCACTCTTCTCCAGTCGTCGGTGAAAGGGAGTCTTTCTTTCCCTTCTCTTTAATTTCCTTTTCCTAAGCATTTTACTTAGTGTATTTGCTCGATTATCGTTGCCGTTAATCACCATTAAACCGTGTGTTTGTATTCAGGTGAAAACGGGCCTTAAAAGAGAGTACTAGGACCAGCCCGGGGACAAACGAAGGCTATCCGGGAGTCCCAAACACGTGCAACACCTCTGTCGGGCTCGCAAGGGTTGCATTGCGGTCGGTCGAGTTGAAACCAAAGCTTCCGCTGCCAGCTGAAATCATAGCAGATTTGCGTACTCGTAGCAGATTTGCATACACTTACTTTATTTGTTATTACATTTTTTTTATATTCTTGTGTAACATTCATTGGCTTTACACTTACATAATACACACTCATATCAAGCAAATAAAATAAGAAATAATGAATCAGCTGAAATCAAGACACTATTTTTATTATAATTTTTCTTTATTCTATTATCTTAAATCATGCCCAAGAAATGCGTCCTG